AGTTGGCTGAATCAGTGTTAACATTAATTATAGTGTTTCTTAATTAAAAAAAAAGAAATCCAGAACAACTTCTGTGTCTTAGTTGGCTGAATCAGTGTTAACATTAATTATAGTGTTTCTTAATTAAAAAAAAAGAAATCCAGAACAACTTCTGTGTCTTAGTTGACTGAATCAGTGTTAACATTAATTATAGTGTTTCTTAATTAAAAAGAAAAGAAATCCAGAACAACTTTTGTATCTCAGTTCCGGAGAGGTTTGGTAGAATTTAAACATTGGACATGATTGACTTTGGTTTATTGTAAAGTGCACATTATCTTGATTTCGGATAAATAAAAGCATAGTTTAAATTTATGGTAGATTTGTGTAAGAATTACAGATGTGTTCATTTCAAAAGGTTAGCTTTTGCTTTCCAACAGATCTTTGGTTCTCCTTATAATGAAATGAAAGGGAAGTATGCTTTATAAAATATATAATTGTAAATTATAAAAATGTCTATATGTTTCTGTGCATTTTTAGTTGTATCATAACCAGTAATATCAATAATGTGTTGAAAAAGATAGTGATAGAGAGTAACATTATCTCTACATTATCATGTATGATATATGTTTGTGTGTTTTCTAAGTGTTTATAATTTTTTACATCATAGTGTGTGGTGGTAATTTTTACACTGAAAGTGGTGTGATTACCTCTCCTGGTTATCCTTCTTTTTCTCGTCAAAATTGGGATTGTGAATGGGTCTTGCATGCTGCTAATGGACATCAGATTCGTTTGAATGTTTCTGAGTTTGAATTACAAAATCAATCGGATTGCTATTATAACTATTTGGAAATCAGGTAAGACTTCAAACTCAATATCTGTATCTAGATGAAAAAAATTTAAAATCCATATACCGTTGTTACTGTTTTTAAAGTTCAACAGTTGGCAGTTTCATGCGATTAGAACAGTAATAATGTAAATTAATGACAAAGCATTTTTAATTTTAATTAAATTTTTTAAAAGAACACAGTATTGAATAATATTTTTGAGCCTTTCTTTTCAACAGTTATAAGTACATTCAAGAGTTTGAGAGAACAGTATAATGTTTGATTAATGAACTGAACTATAAGCTGTTTATGTAGTTTTTAAGCTATGTCATATATGATGCCGTAGTAATGATTGTTATGTATTATATATATTATTTGTAGTACAACTCATTTTTAAATGTAATCACAACTTTACTGGTGCAACTTGTCAATATGGTATTCACAAAAACGAAATACTTATATGCATTTTTCAATATCTGTGTATGAGTTTATTAGAAATTAATTGCTGAATATATTTGTATTCTATGTAGGTAATTCCACTGAGTTAAGTCTGATTTTTAAACTCTAGGCTTATCAGTTAAAAACAAATTATGTGAAAACTTTATAGATTTTCTCACACTTCTTTTATTCTGCAGGAATGGAGCTTATGAGACTTCTCCACTGATAGGCAAATTCTGTGGGAGTGATATTCCACGTGTGATTGTCTCGCATTCCAATACAATTTATCTCCATTTTCACAGTAATAGATATACGTTGTCTTCTAAGTTCAAGATATTCTATGATGGGGCTACTAGAGGTGATTATTTCATAATTGTTACTTCATTTAAATATGATGTCTCACAAAGAAAACTCTAGCATCGTTTCAGTTAGAGAATGTCAGCAGTAAGTCTAGGATAAACTAGTTCTGTTTTCATCCTCAAAATGAATGTTTTCTTCAGCACCTATAGTTCATTTTTACCTGAATCATACTTTCCTTGCAGGTTGTGGTGGAACTCTGACAGCTTTGTCTGGATCTATTAAATCTCCTAATTATCCCAGGCCTTATGGACATAATGCTGAATGTCACTGGGCAATACAAGTGTCAAAAGGCTCTGTAATTTCTCTCACAATCGTAAGAGTAGACATAGAAGCCGAGTCTACTTGCTCTTACGACTACTTGGAGGTACTTGTGTTTCTTTAGTATTTTTATAAGTTGTTGATTAATTGCTGCTTCAGTTGCTACTCTGTGTTTTGCTAAAATTCAGTGTCTGTTATGACATATACACAACAAGGGTTTTGAATATACAATAACATTTTCCTGTAATTTTCTTTGATCAATGGTTAGTCTTAAGATAAAATGTCTTAGTTTATTGCATGTAGACAGAGAAAAATTAATCCAAGGATTGACGGGTCTGAAGCTCCAGGGTCTTGAAGGCTTTGGGGACCTCACTGACCTTGAAAAATGTTGAAAAATACATACAATTCCATCATTGGGCCCTGAAAAATGCATTAAACTCTGGGCCCTCAGTAGACAGATCTTTTTTTAGAGTGCCACGCAAGATAGTCATATACAAGGTTCATCCATGACTGCTAAGAATTATACATAGAAAGGTACTCTTTAGATGCATTGTATAAGATGTGAGAAAAGAGCTAGATGATATCGTATAGAAAGTCTTGGTGGAACTAAATTTAGAAAATGATAGTATTGTTTACCGACATTTTGATTTTGCATGCTTTCTATTTGATGAAACTCAAATACATTTACTGTTATATATTATTATAATTCTTAACTGTGTATTGGCCATTGGAATGTGTCTATTTTGTAGATGAATGCTAAAAATAAAACTTTAAATGTACTTTAAAAGTAGCATAAATGTATGGAAATAAGTTTCTTGTTAAAATCTCAGTAATTTTTCTTCTTTAGATATTTGATGGCAGCTCTAGTCGATCCCAGTCGAAAGGTCGTTTTTGCAACAATCAACAAATTCCTGGGCCAATTATATCATCTGGAAATGTTATGTTTCTGAAGTTTATCACTGATTCTTCTCACAATCGTGATGGATTTCATGTGTCCTACCAGACTGGTGAGTAGCCAACTAGTAAGTTTATTGTATGATCTGTAGAAAACTATTTTTATAGATAATATAGCTAACTATCAGGTAGTGTATGATCAATATACCAATAGAACTTGGGATGGTAATTATTAATAATAAGAGCTTCTGAGTGAAATTCAAGAAGTGTATAATAATGTGTCAACACATTATATCTGCTATGTCCAGATCTTTCGCCCCATTACCAGGGCCTTTAGGGTCGACTGAGATATGACGGACATAGTGCTTGTAGACATGATTTATATTAACAGATTGCTTGACAACAAACTTATATGGTGTGAAATGTATTAAGTTGGCTAATTGTTATTTTCTATCAATTTTATCTGTCACAACACTTCAGAATAAGGGTAGGGATTTTTACATTGTATTGTTTCTTTATTTAACACCATTTATTATTACTTCTTATTTTCTTCCTTATTAAACAAAAGAATCAGGAAGCTAGTCTTCCCCATGTTTAGGATTGATTTTTTAATGTAAATATTTGCCTAAAACTTTTTTTTTCCTAATTTGCTACTAGAAATACTAATATCAGAAGTGAAATTTGATCTCTTGACTAACCACCCAGTCGTTTAAATTCATAAGTAATAAAAGGTGAATGCTGTGAACTTCATAAATGGTTACCATAGCAACATTTTAAAGTTATGCAGCTTGTCTTACAGTTTGACTGATCCAACAGAACATCAGATATTTTTATAATATCCACATTAATGTGTGTGTAAGATTGTTTTTATTGGTATAGAAGTATTTTTTAAGATCTCACTGAAAAACCAACATAAATGGAAAAAAAAAACTACCTCGTGTAAAAGGCATTAATCATGAAATGTATCTTTATCTTGTTAAGTGTAGGAAAAAGGAGAAATTATCATTAGATAACAGTGTAAAACAGTAATAACATATTCTACTCTTTCAATTTCATTCATGCACAGTTTGTAACAATGTGCTCAGAAAAATGCGTGGTGTGATTGAAAGTCCCAGTTTTCCGAATCCTTATCCGCACAATCACAACTGCACATGGAGAGTTGAAGCCCCTCTTGGAAATAACATTTCCTTTGCTTTTTCTCATATAATCTTGGAAAACAGCACAGATTGCAGATTTGATTATGTTGAGGTAAGTTTGGTTTTATTAGCTACATTACCTTTAAAGATTTATGGAAAGAGGTTTTGATAACGAGGTGATCTCTGTAAAATATCTGCTTTAACTTTGAAAATTGCAGGAAAAAAAAATGGAAATAAAATTAAAAGGAAAACTGTGTTACTTGTAGTTAAATCTAAGCATTAATATGTGTTGATTTTATATCAACTTATCTGAACACTCTTTATGTTTGTTTTTAAAATTTTTACAAAGTTTCTTTAAGAGTTAAAATGTGCATGTTAAATCGCAGTTCAAATAATCATAAATTAAAAGGAGATTGTACAAAAATAAATTGTGTGGAGTTTGGCATTATTTTATTTTATATACATTATTTTATACTTATGTACTTTAATTCAGTGTTTTCCAAACTGTGGGGGGGTGAGTCCCCCATGGAGGGGCACATGCTTATTTTTTGCTTTTACATTTACTCACTCCTTACAAACATTTTTTCATTTAAAATAAAATTATTAAAAACAGGTAAAGAAATGTTAACTTTGCTGCTATCACTTGGAAAAATTAATTTTAAGTGAAGGGGGGGATGCAATGGAAACTTGGCTGTCATCACTTGGAAAAATCACATCTCTGCCAACACTAATAGCTATTTCTCGATCCTCATCTTTGCCATCTAACATTGTGTTTGCTCCAGACTTTATATACCCCACTCGACTGCCCTCGGCAATATCTAATTTGCAAAGCTTTATGCTGGCTCTCACACGCCCTCTATGCAGGTACTGTATATAAGCACTGTATGCAGACAATAAAGTTACTTTTTTGAGACTTACCACATTCCGGTTACTAACTCTGGCTCTTAGTGTGGAGGAAGGTAGGGAGAGACAAAGCGTGCACGTTCAGACTAACATTTTGTGATTTACATTTTCTTAGTTTTCATTTTTTAAAAATTGGGAATTCCTTGTTTTGTTATCCATAGATATATTTTGTTGAATTTGTTTTTCCTACAAATATATTAAATAAAAAAATTGGTTATGAATTCCCATGTAACGGTTTCAAGCATGGAGGCTACTCAGCCTTCATCTATTCCTGCTTTATTATCTCGTGGTGGTCAGCAGTTGAGGGGGGAGCCGCTATCCGTGAAAGCTGTCTGTGACCTGATTCAGAGCGAGATCAAGTCCTTTCGTGTGGCCCGGGGGTATCTCTCCGGGAGATGCTGATTTGCATTTTCATTCAGAATCGGGATATTCTGGGGAGAATTTAGACTCTCTGTTTCATGCTCCTTCTTTCACTAGAGCATCCTATCCAGAGGACTCATCTGATCAGCCATCTTCTGCCCCTTTTCTACAGTTAGTTACACATGTTTGTGAAGTTTTGGAGATGCAACTAGTTGATTTTGAGTCTACCCCTGCTTTGTTGTCCAATTGTTCTCAAGGGGATTACTTAGTTTTTCCTCCTTCTCCTGATATTGCTGTGCTTGCAGGGAAGTTTACAACACAATTATGTGAGGGTGTCACTATGCCTTCCCCCCTCATTTATCTGAACAACATGCCCTGGCTTTTATTGTCAGGATGATATATATATTTGGACATTTAAACGTTGGATCCATTGTTGGATCTATGGGGTGCCAGATATGAACCTGTTATTTCTCTTAACAGGTCACAGTTTTCACCGATTCGTTTGATTCTTACTACTGTTTTAAGATACTTCTCTTCCCTTCATATGACTGATTGCCTCAACAATTTGACGACGAACTGGGCCCTTTACTGATCACTACTATGACACGTTTATCCTCTTCAGGACTTGCCTTGGTGTCGTGGTTGGTCTGTTGTTGGGACTTGTTGAGTCGTGATGCATTTTTGTAGGGTATTCACTTACCTTTTTCTGTCCTTCAAGATTTACGTGAAGTGCCTTTTCTTTGGCCTTATTTATTTACTGGAACCACATACCAACCCGCAAAATATCTTCTGAGAATAAGGACAGAAACGATAAGGAGAACCAATGGAATTAGGAGTGGAAGAAGGGGACCTTGAGACACGAAGGGAAGAACCTGCAGAAGTACCAATGGAAGCAGAATAGAGTCAAGCAGCCAAAGACGATAAAGAAGACTGCAAAGGTGCTGTATCAACCCTGGCTTCTAAAGATTCTGAAAACTTCTCCTGACACATTCATATCTCATTACCTTCACGATCTGTCAGTTTCCTCTTCGAAGAGACTTCGTCTCCCCCCCTGTGGCTGTGTTGACTACCATCTTTGGTTCTTGGTGCGACAGTGTTCCACATCCTCTCCTTAATTCCATGGGTAAGCGGAATTCTCCTTGCCCACTTGTTTGTAAATCCAGACTGGATGAGTTCTGAACTTTGGTGGAGTATGGCATATGATCTTGTCAATCCAGACCTGGGATGTTGTCTTTTGGACTTCTTCAGTTTGATCAGAAGGATCGCTACTTTGGTATTACTTTCTTTCATTTTTAAATCTGGTGGTTCGAAATGCATCATTACGTAGTTACTGGTAGGGATCCTATCACAAAGATATATATAGCCCAACATGGGATATGGGTACCATGACCCCTTAAATCCAAACCGAGTTGTGGAACCTTGGCTGTTTGGTCGGGGCTGGACCATCATACTTGTATTATATTCCACTCTTTTCAATTTTCTGTAGTTCTAGGTGAAGAGCATACCTGTTCTGGACGTAGTGCAGTGTTCCCCACTTTGATACCACTTCTCGTGGTACATATTTGTTCTCTACAGATGCTTTCTGTATGATCTCTGTCCTCATTGGCCCCTCTGCCTTCTCAGTGTGGGATTCTAGCTATTAGTGTCAGCAGAGGTATGTATGTTTTGGAAGTTATCATTTTTTCTAAACTGAAAATGTATTTCCAAACATACTTACCTCTGCCGACACTCTCCCTCTCTTCCTCCCCACTAAGAGCCAGTGTTCGTGACTGAAATGTGGTAAGTCTAAAAAAAGTGACTTTATTGTCTGCATACAGTGCTTATATACAGTACCTACATAGAGGGTGTGTGAGGGCTGGCGTAAAGCTTTGCAAATTAGATATTGCCAAGAGCAGTCGAGTGGGGGTATATAAAGACTGGAGCAAGCATACACAATGTTAGATGGCAAAGATGAAGATCGAGAAAAAAAGCTATTAGTGTCAGCGGAGGTAAGTATGTTTGAAATATATTTTCAGTTCAGGAAAATGATAACTTTCAAGTGTAGGGGGGATACAATGGAAACTTTGCTGAGTAAGGAGGTGCTGCTATTTAAAGTTTGGAAAATACTGCTTGAATTGAAAAGAGTACACCTTTTTTAGAATTAGGTGCAGACAAGAAAAGTAAAATATCATATTGTTTTATTGTTTTTCTTTTGAACACATTCTATATGAGAGATTATGAAGAACTAAGTAGATTAGCATGAAAGTAAATCAAACATAACAGTTTTTTTATTTTTAAACTATCTATCACACCAGGTTTGCATCAGAAACCTCATAAAATCATAAATTTATTTTTACCAAGATATAGGAAATTAAACGCATAATATAAGAGGTGATTAATAACAAAGTAATTAGTGTGGATTTTATAGAATCTTAGCTTGCAAAATGAGGAGGTTCGTTATGCCTAACAAATATGACATGTATTGTGTTTGGATTGAGGATGCTTCTTAACAAATTTATTATTGTTATTCTATCCATATACTTCATAGTAATGTACTAATAATGGTTGGAGACGGCTGGAATGGGTAATGAAGAAAAACTTTAATATAAGTTTAACATAACGGCAAATGTACAACGTTTCGACAAAGTTTTATCATCATCAG